GGCCTGTGGACCCCTGGAGGTGACGTTAGATTTACTGGGCCCCGTCTGGAAACCTTTGAGCCCAGATATTATTCAGTCCCTGAGCCTTCCGGCTTCCCGCTTTGAAAACAGCGGTGTTTGCTCTTCCTGCTCCGCTTTGTCCCTGCTTACGCTACAAACCTTAACTGTGTGCCCGCCTAAATGTTTTTCGTTGCCCAAACCGCTCCATCTGTTCTTGTGGTGTCCATGTTCAAAAGTGGTTCTTTCACCGTTCTGTTGGGGAGTTTTATTTGATGTTTATTTTTTTTCCCTTATAAAAATCAGTCCTTTAATTTTTCAACTTTGATTTTGGTAGTGCATGCTAGCCATCACAAATATTTCTGTTGTGTATAAGCCTTTTGTCCTTTTCCTGCTACTAGTTCTCACTGGAATTGAGATTCCGATTAATCTTCTAGACTCCTGTTTGGGCACGGTGCTCCTCAGAAACCATAAGCCAGAAAGGAGACAGGTAATTTTTGTTCTAGAGAGGCGTTTCGGTCGTTGAGTATGCAATACGCTTTTAATAAGCCTGAAGAGATAGCGGGTAGCCTTTTGTGTTGCTTTTGCTGACCTGGGATGTGAGAAGCTCTCTCTGTGTATCTGCTTATATCATATTTCTTCAAGTTTTCGATGAATTCCTCTGCAAGGTTACTTACGGAAGCATCGATTACTTGCTCTTGAGGTTTATTCATTGGAGAAGAGGGCTTATACTGCAGTGACTAGGAAAATAGTGTTCAAAGTAGAAAGTGGAGCATAAAAATTCTTTAAATGTGCTGAATATTTATCACTATTTAAGGCAAATGCAGCTTTCCATAAGCTTCCCTGTGCATATTCTGTGGATATAGATTGTTGCCTTCAGTCAAGGAACTTGATTAAAAATTGTACATGCACTTTAGGAGGACTGTTGTAGTCACAGAACATGTTTAAGGCAAATATAGGGGATTTGTTCTGAAAGCCCACAAAGGATGGGTTAGAGACTTGAGGATGGCTGCTGCTTTTAGGAATGATTTTCATCCACCAGGCTCAAAAAGCCTGCTTCTGCTAGGAGGCAGGTAGAGGGATATTCCCTCTGTTTGCTTTGTGACTTTTTGTGATACTGGGGGAATTACTGATGAGGTCAGTTCAAAGATGGTTATTTGGGATGCTCATGAATTAACCTCCATTTTCCATTAATATATACAGTTTGAAGTTCATTGTTATTTATTTCTGTACTCTTTCTGCTGGCATCTGGGTTTTTCAATTGGGCTGCCAGTGATGTTATTGGCATTTGGTGGCAAACGGAGTGGGATGAGATTGACATTAAGAAATCTTTACAGTCACAGTCAGGACTGATCTTTTCAGTCCTGTTCACTGATGATTCCTTTAGGTGGATCAAAGCTTGCTGTCTTGAAAATAAGAACGTCAGTAAGTTTACCAATTTACTGGCAAATTGATAACTCCTGACTATTTAGTTCGGCGGTGTCACCCTCCTTTCCATAAAGATGTTTTCCGTAAGTAACGGAAGGTGAAATTTCTAAAAGGTGGTGGCCAAGGCAGCAGACAGAGTAACGCCAGTCACAAGAACTGATCCTGACCTCTCTCCAGGAGGAAGGCGTGAAAGCCCTTGACAAGCCAGGCTCCAGTGGGGCTCAGGGGATGCAGCCCTTTCCATTGCTGTTGGCACAGCACGTACAGACCGACTGACATTTGTGTTGAGCCTTCCTCAGGTTAAAAAATTCGGGAGAAATCCTGCTGGAAATAAACAATATTGTGTTTCAGTTGCATCCTGGAAACTCAGTTGGGAACTGGTGCCAGGTATTCTGATGCACGACAGAATGGTCTTGCCATCAGATCGGGTGTAATCTAAATGCTCGGTGGCAACGTTGCTTCCAAGTATTGTCCTACAACCTTGTCATTTATTTGCTTGTCTCCTTAAAGTGAAAAACATCCGTGTTGAAAACGAACCAACAGGCCAATCCCTGGCAGTGATGCAGCAATCCCCTACCCATTCTATGTCACGCTTGTTGACCGCTTAAATTAGCCCCTTAAATGCATAAAATAAAAATAGTGAAGAGTCATTACTGAAATTATCATTTGTGTTTCCTTTGGTATGCATAAAGAACCTAGGGCTTTGTAACATGCAGACTAATGACAATAACACATGCAATATGTCACAGTATTTTTTCCTAACCATTATGGTTTTCATCTAGGGTTGTCGAGATGGCTGCTACCTCCCAGTTTGCCAGTCGATACAAAAAGGATTTGAGTACAGAAGCCCTGAGAACGAAAGTTGCCCGCAGAAAATCAATGCTTCAAAAGGAGAACAGGCACAAGTTGTTTCAAAAGGGCAGACAGTTTGGATTGGCAGATGTCAATGTTCAGCTCTCAAAAGAGAGGGGCGTTCGTCAGCTAAATGAGACACAAGAAACGTGCTCTCAGGAGAACAGCGGTGTAAAACAGAGTAAGTAAGGACTCGTTATAAATCTTTTTTCCTTTTTTAAATGTCTTTTAAGTAGGCTTAGTAGCATTGTCACAAGAACCTAACTCTGGCCGACATTTTAGTTTCAAGAAAAGGTTTAATATTTTAAAAATGACTACCAGTTATTGTATTGGTTAAGAAAACCAGAAAAACAAAGTCTCGATACAGCTTTGTCCTCCTCACTGCTCCAGCAGTACGATTAAGGCTTTGCTCTGATTTGTCTACAGCAGCCAAAGGAAGAATGGAAAGTCTCTTATAGATTGTTTTGTCATTCAAGAAGTGAAAAACCCTGGTCTAAAATCTTGTCTGACATATAACTGGTGTCTGTCATGTGCTTAAAGCACGCTTAGAAATGGGTAGTTTTATATTGTAATTGAGTATATAGAATTTATTTTTTTGACTGCTAGTTTTTGATGACTTAGCTTTCTGCCCATAAAACAGGGCCTGCACACACACTGAATTGTGCTTCCCTGCCTCTCCTTGATGTTTATGGTTTAAGGAATTAAGTTCATCTTTAAAAATGTTAATAGGTTTCTTTAAAAATATTTTTCACCTTCAATATTTTGGTAGTAGAAGATTAGTGGAGGAAGGAGGGCAATCCCTATGTCATCGTGTCAAATAGGAAATTTAAGAACTTATGGCTATATTATCTTCAATAAAGGGAAAGGGACCTGGGGATCCTGGTGGGCAGCAGGATGGCCATGAGCCAGCACTGTGCCCTTGTGGCCAGGAAGGCCAATAGCATCCTGGGGTGTGTTAGAAGGGGGGTGGTTAGTAGGTCACGAGAGGTTCTCCTTCCTCTCTACTCTGCACTGGTGAGACCACATCTGGAATATTGCATCCAGTTCTGGGCCCCTCAGTTTAAGAAGGATAAGGAACTGCTGGAGAGAATCCAGAGTAGAGCAACCAAGATGATTAAGGGAGTGGAGCATCTCCCTGATGAGGAAAGGCTGAGGGAGCTGGGTCTCTTTAGTTTGGAGAAGAGGAGACTGAGGGGTGACCTCATTCATGTTTATAAACATGTAAGGGGTGAGTGTCATGAGGATGGAGCAAGGCTCTTCTCGGTGAAAACCGATGGTAGGATGAGGGGTAATGGGTTTAAACTGGAACACAAGAGGTTCCACCTAAATTTGAGAAGAAACTTCTTCTCAGTAAGGGTGACAGAATACTGGAACAGACCGCCCAGGGAGGTGGTGGAGTCTCCTTCTCTGGAGACATTCAAAACCCGCCTGGATGCCTTCCTGTGTAACATCGTCTGGGTGTTCCTGCCCCGGCGGGGGGATTGGACTAGATGATCTTTCGAGGTCCCTTCCAGTCCCTAACATTCTGTGATTCTGTGTGATTCTGTGATTCTGTAACTTTAAGTAGATGCTAACTTTTCAGATAGACATGTAATTCAAGTTTGGCATCATGTTAAGGTTTTTATAGATAGATATACACATCCAGGCATAACTTTTGCCTTGTTTATGCTCAGCGTGAGGCAGACTTTGGTTTGTAAAACTGACCTGAACTTCACCTTTCAGTAACATTTACAAATGTTTCAATAAAGAAACTGGTGCAAATAAACTAAGAAAGTAGTTAGGGTGTTAACTTTAATACTAGTAACCCTGCAGGAACAGCCTGTACACTGTAAAAAGGGATATGAATTTACAGTATCCCTCAGGTGCAGATTTGGGGAGGTGTATTTGTATTTTGAAATTTACCATTGAACACTCTTCTAGTGCGAAGAGTTAAAACAATTAGGAAAATTTAAGCTTTTAGCAAGGTAATAGGTCATGTGTATTTGCATTGTAAGACTTGAACTGAAACTTGCAGGCACGGACTCCAGCCATTCTTCTGCTCTTCGATGTAGTACGTTCCTCCTCTATCTTGGAAAAGTTCTTTGAAATTTTCAGACTTGCTTATTGTTGGCTCAAAAATATCTCCAAGGTTTTGTACCGTGTCTGTCTTCCATCTCTTTGCTTCAGAGCAATCTACAGATGCAGCCACCAAGAGGGTTAATGAACGCAAGGAAATGCTCCAGCGCTATAAAGAGGAAAAGGAACTTCGGAAACTGAAAGAGCAGAGAGAGAAAGCAAAAAAGGGTGTGTTTAAAGTCGGGTTATATAGACCAACCGCCCCTGGATTTCTTCCGCTTGTACCTGAAGACCCAGTGATAGTGAAGCCAAGAGAGAAGGTAATAAGTAGTGTTGGATATCTGAATGAAGTATATGTAGTATACTATCTTCACATATCTCTTTGTATGCAAAATTATGTGTATCTTATGCCAAATAAAGTTTATTTTGTAAATACTTTGTAATACTTTGTAAATATTAGTTCTCTAGTAAGGGAATCATTTAGCTCTGTTTTTAAAAAGAAACTGGAAATAGTGATATGTTGATTTTTGTTTTTAACTATGTTCTCAGCTCAAAAACTGGCAGGATTCATCCAGAAATCAAACAGCCAAGTTATTTTAGGACTCGGAGCTTATTCCTGTTTAGCCCACTTGACTTTGAAACTTTTTCAGATTACCCACTTGACCCATTTTGCACGGGTCGTGTTGCTTTTCTCAGCTAGGCTTCTCGTCCACTTTATCAATGATAGGGGGAAAAGGAGTGTGTTAACTTCTTTCCTTGGCATGTTTTCAGGCAGCTCCTGCTTTCTCCGGGAGGATTACTCGATCAAAGGCCAAGAACCAAGAAGAAAAAAGTGTCATACCAGCGGCATCCAAGAATTCTACGGTTTGTTTTTTATAGAAACTTCTGTGAATAACTTTAGAGGAAAGGATGCGATTACCCCTCAGACCATAACTCAGGGTTGCATGCTTGCAAGTTGAGTGCTGTCCCTAAGGATGTTTTCCTGATGAGAAAGACAAATTAGATCAGAAAAGCTTTCAGCAAGCTAGTAAGACCCCATTGTGCTGACCTGAACTCCAGAGAGGTTGATTAGGTCAGTACAAACAGAGAAAAATGCATAAATTTCCTTGATCGGGTTTTCAATAACCAAATATTGTGATCAGCAAGGACTGCAAATATGTGTGGAGATAATAGTGAGGCTGTGAGATCAAAGCTATATACTTTGGTTTTAGCTTAGAGAACCGGTGCATCTCCCTTGAATGTAGAAAGTCTGTCAGGAGCACTAAAGGGTCAGTTCATTCTTCACTCAAAAAACACTTCATATTTTTACTGTGAGTCTTGGCAGTCCCTTCTGCTGTTACTTGTATCAAAAAGTAGGTTTTGTTGAGGAATTTCACCGGCAGTAATCTGTAAAAGAAGCTGTATTTTGAATCTAGCAATCTTGCCTTACAAAACTTGAATGCGTTTGAATGATTTCCAGTCATTACTTTACGAAGAGACCTTTTTTTTCTTTCTGAAAACTGATTTTTGAATGGTATGTTATGTATTAAGATGCAGCAGTAATTGGCGCCTAGCTTCATAGTAAACTGAAACCATTTCTTAAATATTTTTCTTTTTCTAATAAATTTTTGATTAGTTGGATAGTGCATATTAACATGTCTAAACCGAGCTACTTTATCCTTAATTTCTCTTTACTTTTTAAAGCCCTTTGTACCGAAATTTTTTGACTGCTTGTTTTACTGGAGCCCAAGATAGAGAGATGAGGAAAGAAATTAGGCCATTTAGCTTCTAGATATCTGCTACTTCACCCCAAATTATCTACTTTTGTAGGTCTGTGCCAACGGACATAGCACGCGCCCTACACAAGCTGGACGTAAACAGACGAGTACAGACAAAGCAGCTGATAAAGGGAAAGGTATGAAAACCCCATGATCTTGTTGAAGAAAATCACAAATAGTAGCCGCTGCTGTTACAGAAAAGCGAGTGACTTCACCTGGAAAGATAAAGAATAGCTGACAAGCAAAACATGAATTTTCCTTGGTATTGTGGGTGGCCTGAGAAATAGTTGATTGTATGAGTTGTAAATGTTTCCGGTGAAGTCTTTCTTCTGTGTGTGCAGCAGGTACGCTGTAGTCTGTGGTCTCTAAATCCTTGTGTAACTCAGCATTTAAAAAGCATTTGGGAAAAGGCACCCTGCAGTAAAGCACATCATGTTGGAAGTGTTTCAGGCCAGGCTGGATGGCCCCATCTGGGCAGCCTGATCTAGTGGGGGATGTCCCTGCCCATGGCAGGGGGGTTGGAACTGGATGATTTTTAAGGTCCCTTCCAACCCTGACAATTCTACGATTCTACAGGAGCCCAGACTTCTGATGTGCACTAGCGTGGTTGTCTTCTTCAGTAAATTACGAGTGCACCCTCACATTTTTGTATCTTACAACAGCTCCTTTTGTATCTGTCACTTTCTATGTGACGATTCCACGCTTTTCTTAAGAAAACAACAAAAAACCACCCAACTCCTGACACCTTTAAGGCAGTAGAATACTTTTGATTAGAAATTCTTCCTGATAGCACAGTGATGTCTATGCTTTAAGTAAATAAGATGAAATCGTGTGGAATATTGATGTTAATGCAAGATACTCAGGAATTCAGAGTAAAATGATTTTCGGGTCACTAATTTAAATCAGCAAGCAGCAGACCTTTATTTAAATAAAATTTAGTAATGTCTTCAGTGAATATTGAGAAGATCTACCATCAGTGTTTGATAAAACAATTAAAACATTTAGTTTTTCAAAAATTGTCATCCACTAGATAAGCTTATTCCTTTTGTGCTGAATCAAAGGTATGCACTCTGTGTTTAAACACTAATGTAAAAATTTTGGGAAAGGAAATGTTTTAATAAATATTATAGTTATTTATCTAGTTTTTTTTTTTTTCCTGACTTGTCATTCTAGCTTCCACAGACTTGCAGCTTAATGGTAAAAAACACAAATAGTATGAACAGTAACCAAGCTGGGGCTACTAGATTTCAGGTGTGGAAAGGGAGGGTAGGAAATAAAGAGCCTCTGTTAATTTTTCCTGTGCAAGGGAACACTATCATTTTTGAAGGATGTTAGAAACAATACTAAAATACAAAAATTATTAAGATGAGTTTATAAAATATTTCAGGGGCAATTTGTCTTAGGAATGCTTTATTAGATTACATTAAATTCAGATCTTCAAATACTTTCGTATAATGACCGGGACATTGCTTTTGTTACACGGATGGTTGACTTAAGCTTCCAGCTGTGGAAGTTATTACTCTAGAAAGCTTCATCTGTAGAATAGGGATGATGTTGGCTGTGATTGCAGGGAACACTGAGAAGGGTTCCTTAAGCTTTGTACGTGGCATCTAGATCACTGGTACCTCGATAGTCCCAGAGGTACCGTTGTACAACAAAATCATCCTCACTTGAGACCTGGCGCCAATACTGAGCTGTGCTGCCCATGTTTAGCACTGCTTGCACGGACCTGACAAAAAGAAAACCCCAACCCTGTTGATACTGGCAAAATAATGCAACTGATAACTGCTAGTGCCCTCATTTGATTTCTCCAAAACATAAACTCTGAGTTGCATTACTTGAGTTCAGTTCCTTATTAATATTCTTAATAATTGCTTTCAGTGTTGCAGACTGCAGTCCAGACAGCCTCAAATGTAAGAATCACCAGAGCAGCCGCCTCTGCAGCTAGGCAGACACTGAAAACAACAGCTGCTGCTGCTCCTGCGGGTAAGTGAGGCAGGGAATATAGTCATGCATGCTATAGTATATAAATATGAAACCTAATATTTAAGTATTTGGAATAGTGGGCTGCAAAAAGATAGATCTAGTAGTGGGTAAGTGAGCACTGGAAACAACATACGTACATTTGTATTCTGCTGTTACTCATTGTCAGATGATGCACTAAGGCAGCTCTCATGTCTTTAGGATCTAGCTCATATCACAGGCACTCTATTCCGCTGTAGAGATATGCCTCAGCTCATTCTGAACTGTCTTAGCACACTACATTCTGCTGTGTAACTATTTCCTTCAAATACCTTGACTACATGTAAACCATGCCAAGTTGTCATGTAGGAAAAAGACTCAACACTGTGTCACTTAGAGTCTCATCTGGAACTCTATTGCAGTATTTAAATCGAGATGTTGAAACCAACATTGGACAATTTTGCCTAAAATCCATCAGTGTAGAGTATCAATATCCATTATAAACTGAAAGAACAAACCCAGAGCTGGTAAATATTTGCCAGTTTGGTGTATTGTTGTTTAAGGACTCATGATTAAGTCCATGGTCAGGAACAGATACCTCTGGAAGAGATGAGAGCCCACATTCTTCAGGTCAGGAGTTTCTCATTGTCCATTTGTTAGAATAGAGGAACGTGATGGTTACTGCAGGGGAAATTTTTAGTATATATTCTTGTTCTGAAGGTATTCTCTGAAATGTTTTGCAGCAGCCCCTGTATTAGGTATGAGAGAAGTTAACCTCTAGGCTAAAAGCACTGCTGTCCTTTGATGCTATCAGTTTCGATTCACCCACAGAAACCCGGTGCCATATAGAAGTTACAAATCTAAACTCAGGTTGGCTTGACACTATCTCTTCAGCCTTTAAGGAAAGAAGATGACTTTTTCTTTTAGTATGTGACAACATCTAAAGATTCATGACTCAATCTGTTTTCCTTTCTAGGTGACTTATTCTCTTAACAGGCTGTTAAATTCTAGGCTGGGTTTTCTTTTGAATGAACTTCCGCAGTTACGTGTCTGCCCTCTAGCCACTTCCCACTCAAGATACAAAACCGTCTCTCCCTGTCTTTAGCCACTGGACTTTTATGGCATCTTCTGGTGAAAGATTATCTTCATCGGCCGCTTTTTTGACTTTTGGGAGTTTCTCTCCTTCTAGGTAACCAGTCACAGAGAAAGACAGCAAACACAGGAAAGCAGAAGAAAGCAGTGAAACCTTTGCAGGAGGTAAGTCACTTAATATTTGAAACGGAAAAGCAGTAAAATGGATTTAAAAGCCTGTAAGAGAGTAATTGTAGCTCAGTTACACTTCCGTTTAAGCAGAGAAGTCGTGAGAAGCTCACTAATAAGATCTTGGGAAGAAGCTGCATGTATTTGTATTGTGATATTTTAAAAATTAATATCAAGATTAGTGCTTATATGGATGACGATTACTAATCAAGATCTAGGCAATGATTTAAATGGGACAGGAAGTTTTTACATGATGTCTCATGTTTTAACTAGTGTAAAAAAAGCCAAACCCACTTTTCTGGTTTTGTCTAGCATTTGTAAATTTTGTGCAGTTCGTTCTTCTTTGAAACGTACTCTGAATGTTTCCTTTTTCTGCTTAAGTAGTGATAGGAGACTCTAGAAGGTAAGAAATAAATGCATGTTTAGGTTTTCAACCATAGAATCATAGAATGTTTGAGGTTGGAAGAGACCTCTAGAGATCATCTAGTCCAATCTCCCTGCCGGAGCAGGATCACCCAGAATAAGCCACACAGGAACGCGTCCAGGCAGGGTTTGAAAGTCTCCAGAGAAGGAGACTGCACAACCTCTCTGGGCAGCTTGGTCCAGTGATCCATCACCCTCACAGTAAACCACCAAAAATAAAGCTGGAAATGTTATTCTCTGCAAGGTAGCCGTCTCACCTCCCATCTCCACTCCTTTTGCTGCAGCTGTGCTCTACTATTGTCTTGAAACTGGTGCAATCATGCACAAAGACTGATAGGAGGTTAAGAGGCGCTTAAATCTTTGCTTAGATAAGGCACGAGTTGCTCTGTGCTGCCAGTTGGTAAATTCTTGCTCTAACCTCAGTCATCTCGTAACAAGAAGTGTGTTAAAAGTCGAGCTCAAGGCTTACGTTCCAAGCAGGGGTAGCTAAAGTATAACAAGACCTTCAAGTGGATTGAAGACACATATTTTCTTGAAAAACAAGCTAAGCTCTTTGGGCTGGTTTGAGCTAACAATATCTCTACATAGTTACTTCAGAAACACGCTCTGTATGGCTCTCTCATCTCTCACAGGAATGTAGATTCAATTTATTAACTTTTTCTCTTCTTTAAATGACATTCTGTAGTCCTAACTGCACTTGTCTTGGGCTGCATTCCTCTGCTATCAGGTTATTTTAGCTTGTTCTTTGGTCTTTGGATTAGAGTTATGTGTATAAACTGTGATTATTCAACAGGCCTAGTTGGATTTGGAGCCAATAATTCCGCTCTTGAGGAGCTTATCACCTTAAAACGTTTTCTTTTTTTTCCTAGTAGTGGGAGCTTTTCCAAATTTAATTTCTGTTTGGGGAGGCGAGGCATTGGTTGTTGCATTGCTCATAGTGAAGTGCTACCCCCATTGCTAGAATGACCTGTAGGCGCCAAAGCTGGTTGGGCCTGTTGCTAAACTGTGACTTCTGGACACGTGTGCTGTTGTAGAAAGTGACTTACCTGAAACTACACACTTCCTGATGGCTTTCAGACCGTCGTGTTATAACTCAGTCCATGCCTGTAGTAAACACTTCATTGATTTGATGCTGTGGTGTTTGTCTGCTTATGCTGTTACAGGTAATTCCTCCTAAACACGAAGTAGATGAAAATGCTCAACTGGATTCAGCGATGAAAGATTCTGCAGCTGATTCTAAACTTTCAGCATCAATAGAACTTCACCGGGAAAAAAGCTCAGCAGAAAGCATAACAGATTCTGCTCATGGGAGACCCAGAACACGCTCTTTTGCACCGCAAAACTTCGTGTTTCGGCCATTGAATGGCTTAGCGACCTACAAAGTTACACCCATGACTCCTTCTAGGGCAAATGCGTTTTTGACACCCAATGCCTTCTGGGATTTTTCAAAATCTCCAATGTAAGATTCTTTCTTCTAATGGCCTAAAAAAACTCACAAGTGGACCTCTCTGTAATGATACAGAAAACATCTTTCTGTAGAAAGATTCCTTCTGTAACAGACTGTTGTGGTATTGGAACACTTGATCATCACGGTTGCTGTCGCTGCTTAAATGTGGATTTGATGCAACAGCAAAGGAAGCGATGTAACCCATAATTCTGTCCATGCTTTAGAAGTAGAGCAGCTCCATATATCGGGGACTGTGCCCTATATATCTCTGCATAGACTATTTCATTTTAAGAAGATTTGCTGGAGTTCTCTCGTGTTGTGTGTAGGATTGCCTTCTAAATTGTGCATTTCCATGTATTGTGCTGTATTTGATGTCCCTTTCTCAATGTCTCTTAACTCTAAATGTACTTTTTGTTTGTTTCCAGTAACATATTTGAAAAATCCAGTGAAACTAAGGCACAAGAGCTTAATTTTATGAGTCCGGTTTCCCCTGCTGATAAAGGCATTCAAGAGCAGCAAACCACTGGAAGTTTGAATGGAGGGAAAGGTAGGAAGTTCACATTTAGTTTGCAGTCCCTATGTTTTTAGTTTTCACTTAGGTGTTCTGAACAAATCCCTTTCATATTTTTTTATAGCATGTGAATCAGACGAGAAAACTTCTACTTGGGGATCGAATGAAACGATTCCCATCTCTTCAGATACGAGAGCACCTGAAACAAAGTCAGATGATATGAGAGAGCAAGAGCATGATGTGCCCTACTTCAGGTTTGGGTTCATTTGTTTCTCTTCCCCGTTGTCCATTCTGAGGCCCTTCACGTGGGTAACGAGGCATCTTGGGGAGGTCAGCTCACCGTGTCTGACAGCAGTGACCTGAGTTAGGGACACATTCCTATCGCAGTGCAAGTAAAGAATATGAGAATCTGGGCACTAACACCTTGTCCTAAGGAACATGAGCTTGAAAGCAGTAGAAAAGAAATTGCAGCTCAGCCAGTCAGTGAATTAAACCAACTTAATGGCTCCTGCTTGGTGTAGCTTCTCTGAAAGCAAAAGGAAAGCAACCCTTAGCAGTCACAAGTGGTGACAGCAGTGAGAAAACTCTCCAAAACCTCATTTATTTGTAGTGTGTTTGGTTTTTTTCACGATCCCTTTATTTTCAGAAGCATTCTTCGGTCTGAGACAGAGAGGCTGGTGTCTCAGTGCCTCCAGTGGGATGGGAAATTTGAGCTGGACATTCCAGAAGATGGTAAGACTAAACTGTAGTAGGGACTAGAAGGGGGTGCTACGGTAACTGAAGGGGACAGAGGCAAGTACAAGTATCCGAATATATTTGCAAAATAGCGCTGTCTACAGCACTTGAGTAAAAACTGTATAAGATAGAGTTTAGGATTTTTTCTGCCCTAAAACAAAAAGGTGTGCTTTATGTACACAGCTAATGTGTGACGTGCTTGTGGTTGACACTGAAGTGAACAAAGTGCACATCAGTGGTTTTTCTGTTGTCCGTTTTCAGTGTATTTAAATGTATGAACTTTAATCACGGTGAATTTTGAAAGGAAAATTAGGTTTTAATGTAGAATAAGTGTCCTTGTCAGGGAAATTTTTATCCTAAAGACTTCGATAGTACCTTTTTTTTTTTTTTCCCACCAGGAGTAGCTAGATCAGAGTGGTTCAGTGGATAGGTATGCTCTAGCTGAACATAGTTCAAACAATAAACAAATTCCAGCTTCTTCAAATACTTATTTAAATCAATTGTGAAATGATGGGTTATTCCGAGATGTGCTTTCTTTATTGTTTTCTCGTTGCTGTTAGCTAAAGATCTCATTCGCACCACTGTTGGTCAGACAAGACTGCTCATAGCAGAAAGGTTTAAACAGTTTGAAGGACTGGTGGATAATTGTGAGTTCAAACAAGGTGAAAAAGAAACGACGTGTACAGACTTAGATGGATTTTGGGATATGGTTAGTTTTCAGGTACGTACTTGGACGTTAATCTACTAAAGTAAAGTTGATGGGAGTTATTTACGAACAATAGGTTGAAACTTTTGGGTTTTGAATATTTATATTCTGACTTTTTTAATGTAAAAAAGGCAGGCTATTGTTTAATGCTTTCTGAGAGTGAGTAGTACCAGTTAGTATATATAGCAGGAGTTCCATGCTTCAGTAAGAAGGATAATGCAGAAACTACAATAACCCTATTCTGTGGTGAGCTTAAGTAGTAGAAAACTTTAATTTCTCTTTTTCTGTTGATGCTTACATTGGTTTCGGAATAAAATACAATCTAAATTGTCAAAAGGGCTCTTGATAGGATTTGTAAATCAGTATTCAACAAAGGAGCTTGTAGCCAGGCAAATTAAATGCAGAGATGGATTTATTGTTAAGGTCCTAATCGTAGATCCTGAACTCTGTCCAGAAAGCATAAGGGTTTGATCTGCTTCCTCAAAAGTGTTCCAGGGGAACTTTTCTAGAACCACTAACTTGAAGAACAGGGTTTACCTCTGCTTCCTACATATCAAGGAGCAGCTCAAGTTTCTCCAGAACCTCCTCACCTTTTCCCTTACTCCCTTGGAGTAACAGAATTGCTGACTCTGTCCCTTTTTGCATTTTTGGTTTGTGCCCTCTGAGTTTTAGGGAGGCTGTAAAGGACTTGTCACTTTGGTGACTGCTCTGCTCTACGTCACTCGGCCTCACGTGGCCTTACTACCGAGCGGGGCAAGTGTCTCCACACAAAGCCTGAGGAGAACAAGGCTGTTGTGTTGAGTATCGGCCTGCGAGGAGGTGATGCTGCGGAGCTAGTTTGTCACCAACAAGCACAGATTGTGTCAGGAAGCTTTTCAGGCCAGCAGTTGAAAAGAGCAAACAAGCTTTTATGGCGTGTTTCCTGCATAATGGAAAGCTCATGCTTGTTTTTATAGACTGTGGCGCAGCGAGGTCTTTTGCATTCCTTAAATGTGACCGTTGTCCAAGTGCTTAAGTTCAGTACGAGACCAAGTGATAAACCAGCTCCTTCATTTGAGATGTTAGATCTTGGGAATAATTCTGTGCTTGCCGTACTAATCTTTAAATTTACAGAAATAAGACCAGTCTTGTCATCTAATGTGATGCTTGTGTCTGTTAGTGTAACCTTTGTGTCAACTGTATAAGAACATTCAATATTTATATTGGTTGGTGGTTTAATTTGCTTCTGTATTTAAAGCAAAAGTACTTAAATACATAAGCATGCTTAAATTTATTACCTGATTTTATGAAGCACTGTTTTGTTGTGAATCTGATAAGTCTTGAGAAATAAACCCAGGACTTTTCTGGACTTTCCAATAGATCGAAGATGTGAATAAAAAATTTGATAATCTGAAGAAGCTTCAAGACAACGAGTGGCAACCACTTGATGTCCCAAGCAAAGCAATTGTCAAGGTATGAGTAGGCCCTAAAGCGTGTCTCTTAAGGCATCAAGATGCAACAGTGTGTTTTCTAAAATAACTAGTAAGCCGCTATTGCAGTAATGAATACTCTTCTTAAATGGAAGTTCCTTCTAAAGCCCTACTCATCTGGCCATCTTTAGATGTTTAAAAATTTGGTTAAACTCCTCTCAGGACGCACCCTTCTCCCAAGTGCACTTGGCTTGGTGCTTGTAATGCCAGTTGCCTCTTTCAGCTGGGAAGATTAGAACTAGGAATTGACTACGACTCTTTTAGAGTCACTGGACTCTTTGCTAATAAGACAAATCCATTCAATTTAGAAGACAAATTTACCCTTCAGATGTGGAACACTTTATCTGGGCCGTGCGCGTTGGCACTGACTTAACCGAAAAGGAAACCACACAGGAATTTTGCAGTTTTGAGCAGTGAGTGCTAAATTACAATCATGTCCTATTAAGGCAGCACCATGAGTAGCATTAAGCTACTCATTCTCGAAGCACAAATGGGTATGACACTAACTGAAATTAAAGCTTATTTTGCAATAAGCAGTAACTTATGCTATAGTAACTATTTTATCTACTCTTCAGTTTCAAATACATAAGTTCTTCTAATGACTGAACATCAAGTCATACTCCTGTTGCCAAACCTCCATCCAGTTCTTTGAAACTGCTCAACTAATCATAAAAGCAGTACCAAGTTTGATAAGAAACTCCAGGCACAGGAAACAGAAGGGAAAGCAGTTCACGAGAGCTGCCCGTAAGCATCAGAACCCTACAGAGGGTACAAGACGCAAAACTTCCTTTGAAAAATTGAATGCCAGGTGAGACTTCACTGGCTGATGGGTGTCTGTCCCGCAGTTACTTTTTCTCTTTGCCACTAGGAGTCCCTGTATCCTACTGTTTCCTGAAATATTGTTGTTAGAAAAAGTATTGTTGTTAGGAAAAAAAACCAGTTGTACTAAAGATTTCTGAGTTTGTGGGCTCTACATGAAAAATCCTGACTGTTGTCATCACCAAGCTGAGTGACAGTCGGTGAACGGAGACCTGTTGTGGTCTCTACGTTTGGCCGGCAGCGACGTAGATGTTCACGTGCAAATGCTTCTGTCCAAAGGTTCTGGACGTGACCCAGACTTTCTTGCCATTTCAGAAGACGACTGTTCCAAATGCAGTGTCCAAACCAAAGCTGGGAGCAGCTGGAAGAACTGCTGCCCGCAACCGGCTTGCTGCTATAAAAGCAGCTATGAGGGATAAAATGAAACATGATGGAGCTGTCGATTGCACACATCAGGAGAAACTACCAGAAGTAGAAAAAGTGGTTTTTGAAGCGGGATTTTTCAGAATTGAAAGCCCTGTGAAAACCTTTCCAGGTGAGTGAAGCTTAATTGTGATTTTTGTGACCTGAAAGCACTAAAGAGAGTTTAACCAGTGTCACTGGGGAGAAGAATTACATTATTTGTACTAGATACAACTCCGCTACTGACACAATTAATATTTCAGCTCGTGCTTAATTACATCAGGGATCCAAAGTAAACTGCTCAATATGAATGTACTGATTTGAGTGATTGTGGCAACATGAACTCTCTGCTTAGCCAGGGAAGTGAAATCTGCTGGTTCATGGTTTTTTCAGCGCATGTTTAACAATGACGTTTTAATCTGAGTGTCCCCAGACTGCTCATCAAAGTCAGTGCAGGCTCACGTCCTCTGTAAAACAGGAATTGTTGTAGGTTTTTTAACTAAATCTTTTTTGGTGCTGTCTTCAGTGCTACAAATGAAATACACCTGCTATCTGTGTTCATGTTCAACAAGATTGTAAAACGTTTCAGTCTGTTATAAAAGCTGTTTAATAGTGAATTTCTGAGCTGCTTAAAATACAGCTCTATTTTCAGTATCTATCTTATTGCAATGTAAGTGAAGCCAGTATTTCGGATAATCTTTGATTCTTTGGAAGCCATTCTGCTTTTCTCCCATTTCTAGATTGTAAGTTGCCTCTGAATTTTTTTATTTTTTGTGTAGATCTTTTTCCTCATCACAAGACCGGCAATTTTTTCATACGCCTCTTTTTAGCAGAGGAGACCTCAAATGCTTTGAGCTACACTGGGTTTAAGCAAGCTCTAGCAGAGAATCTAAGAATCAATTCTGAATCTGTGTCTTTTTAATTCTATTAAAATTATTTAATGCGAAAGATGGAAATTAATGACAGCTTTCATCAGATGGAGTTTTTAATAAGAACCAGCGAGTCCCTTTATTTCAGGTTCTTTGTGAAAGGATAGTTGTTACTAAGTTGCTTAACTGGAGAGTTAAGTTTTTTAACTTACTGACCTCCTCTCATCACCTTGTTTCAATTTCTCCTAGTGGTGTGTATAAAATTTCAATGTAATATTTGTATAAGGTAATTCCCCAAGCAGAAAACAGTGTTCCTAGCTAGAATCCAAACAAACACTTAATTGAACCTTCTGGAAACTGTTGTAATAATGAAACATTAAACACAATTTTTCAGGCTTGCTTTCAAAGACACCTCGCAGATCTTCCTTGCAGACTGCGGAAAAACCTGCAACTCCAAGATCGTGCAGGAGAGCTTTGCTTCAGAGAATTCCTCCGGTTCTTTGTAACCCTGAGGACACAACCACAAAACAAACACCGTCCATGCTCAGAGGCTTCCACCCGGCACAAAACTTGGAAATGCAGCAATTTCCCATCGGAAAAACTTCCCCACTGGAAAACCTCCCTGGTGCTTTTCCCGCGCAAAGGTAGGCGTGTTTAAGGCAGCTTTTAATTTACTTTGTACAAAGAATTTTATAATTTTAACTGAAAGAATTAATACCCGTTAAATGTTACCTTCCAAGTTGGCAGTGGTGAAGGTTGCAGAGTCCTTTCGTCTTTTCCTTCCCTCAAGCAAATATTAAGAACTTTGCCCCGATGTAATTTCACTGCTGGGGTAGAAGTTTATTTTGGTTTTTTTGCCCAGAAAATTTGATACAGCCGGCCAGTGCCAAACAAGCGAGCGTAATTGTGGTACAAGTTGTAAGATCAGTTGAGAAAGCCAAAAGAGGATTGCAGGTAATTGATGGAAATAATTGCGAATAATGAAAACATTTTGTTTTCTCTCTCAGCGCTTCTGTAGTTGCAGAGGAACACAGTCCTGTTGCTGGCACAGCAGAGGGAACTAAGGTGAGTTGTTTAGTTCATGTATGCGCTTTACATATTTTATTTATTATTAACAAAGTCCTTTTTGTTAACCCCAGACACGTGAATTCCTGAATGAGGCTGTCGTAGTTTGGTTATTAACTTGTTTTTATGTCTTTTCCTTCATCCTTTCCCAATCGAATGAGAAATCCCTCGATGGTGATGTGGCTCTCTTGGGGAAACCTGTGGTAATCCTTACCTTGCAGTATTGCTGATAGGTTTTTCTTGAAGTAAAGTCTCATTGGGGAACATCCTCAGAACGTTTTTTGGCGCTTGAAGTTCAAAACCTTCTTTTGTGTGGAAGAACTTCCTTCTTACTCAAGCTCCCAAGGGTGTTTGGGAAATAGTTCCTGTGAAATGGATCGTGGTGTTAAGCTGCAAGACTTGTCCTGCCTGGCCTTTGCATGGTGGCTGGAGTCAAAACCCCGTCTCTCCTGAATTATCCGTAAAACCTGTAGATTAGATGAAACCCTTAAATGTCCTGGCTACTCTTTTCATCTTTGTGCTGTCTGTGTCAAAAGCTGACAAATTCCTTTTTACTACTGACAAAAAGAAAATTAAGAAAGCTTTCTAGCGTCATAGGTACTGCCTCATCCCACTGATTCTTTCTGACTCTCTGAGAAGCAAATATAGCTACTCCAGGCACTTTAGCCTCTTGGAGGGCTAGGAAGAGTGAAAATACCTGTTTTTCAGGCGCTGGAAAATTCTAGCAGTGAATTAAAAGCAGTGGCTGGCACGGAAGAGATGGAACTATCTACTGCAGAACAACAAGGCCAAGATATCGTCATGTGCAGTCCGGAGAAGGAGACGGGCACAGGGACTGACTTTGCTCAGTCTGGAGAACTGATAGATCAAACAGGTGAATATCTTCAAGCTGCTTCAGTATAGTTTGGTTTGCTGGGGGCTTCTGTTTGTTCTAAGGTTTCGTGGTAGTCGAACTATTAGTCTTTGAAAGACTGTGGTTGTAGCTTGGTTAATCCATGTGTGCTGACAGCAAAACCTCCTTTAGCCAGTACGATGTACACGTGTGTTGCACATAAGCAAACAGCGCCCCGAGGGTTTATCTGTAGAGTTTCCATGTGATATGTGAAGGAGAAAGCTCACGTAAAAGCCTTGAAGTTGAGGTAAATACAGAGTGGGGATTTTTTGGTTTTTTTTCCTTCTTCCAGAAAACAACTGCTTTTTCAGTTTTGGCAGCACTAGACCAGCTTTTTTAACAAGTGAAATATTCTTCTTTTTCAGATGTTTCATGTAGTCATTTGACACCTGTTGGTAGAAATCCTTTTGACACGGTAAGTTGACCTTCAGGTTTATTTGACTAAGACAAATTTGCATGTTACAGTCCCGTTAACCTTTCCTATGGTATCGGCTACTGCACGAAGTAAATTAAACTCTTGAAGATGTTATCAACCCCAGTTAATATAACTTCCTTTAAACACGAACCACAATCCAACCTGTCTCCCTGTTCAGGCTCAAACTGTTATTTCTTATTGCATATGATGAGTGTGGGATGAACTGAGAAGTTTGTGAAGAAAGAATGCCCAATTCTTCTCAGATCGATCCTTTAAATTATATTTCTGGTGAATTTCCTTGTAAATATTTATTAGTGTAGTGAATGGCTTGGGCTTTTTCCTCCACTTAGAATTTTTCAGGCTTGTCCCATTCCCTTTTTTTATAGCTTTAACTTAGAGCTGTAAGCTTCAACAGGGTAAAGCAGATGTGCAGAAAACTTTCAAATCCTTTAAAGAATTTGAGTGGAGAGTTTCTTGGGCCTCGTGAAAAATCCTCTTTAAAGTATGGATTACCGAGTTTAAGTAATGGGCGTCTTCAAAACGGACCACATACTCGCTTTGTGTTTTACATCTGGAAGTAAACTTGCAAAATTTCTGTTAGGGAAGTCACGGTGCTTACATGGAACATTGTTTTTTGGGGTTTTTTGTTTTTGTTTTTTTTTTTGACCCATGGCTGTCACTTTCAAACAGCATCATATATAAGCAAGCCCCTTTGGGGATACTGGCATCTGCTGGATCACTGCAGGATTCAGCTCTGCCAGACAGTAATTGCTGTTGGCCTGATGTTTTATGGAGGTGTTATCAGAGAAAGGAGAATTTGTTATAAATTTCTTTCATGTGCCGTTCCATGGAGCAGAGAACTCTTCCTCAAACACTCACTTCTCCCTCTGATTTCTCCCACAGCCCACGCTGGACGCTGAGCTTCCCTTCACCCCAGTCAAGAGCAAAGCCCAGAAGTTCGCAGCAGCTGAAGCGTTCAGTGACCTTATTGTATTTTCTCCCTTTTCTTCCTCTGGGGAAAAATGAAGAGTGACTTGAAATTCAAAATGTGTAAATTATATTAACCACAGAAAAACCAAACCCTCACAGAAAGGGTATCTGGAACGCAGTTCGCTACCCTTGAACTGTGCTCTGAGTGAATTATCTGTAGTATTTTATAGTGGAACTTATTAAATATTTCGTAATGTTTTTATGGGGCGGTCGTTGAGCCCTGGGAGTACCGCTGTGTGTCAGTAGCGGGGTGTTATATATCTCCAATGACTGCACCTGCTGACTACAACCCAAAAGGTTTTTATTTGTGTATAACTTGATGTATTTCCTGTTTTGCTAAAAGTTGTAGAACTGTCCATCTCTTAGCTTTTCTGTTCTGACCTCACTTACTTCGTGAATTATTATTATTCTTTTAAGACGCCTACTGGACCAGTTCTCCCTGTGCCCAACTTCTGATACGAGGGCACCTTCTGGGGGTAAGACTTGGCCTGTTGCCCCCGCCTTCCAAGCTCAGTTTCCCACTCGGTCACTGTGTGAGGGTGCTGCTGTGCCCTCTGCCTCCAGTGTTCTGTGTCATTCTTACCTGTGGGAGATTTCCTGGTATTCAACAACCACTTGCTTTGGAAGCATCTCAGAAGTATTTCAAAGTCAGATTTTTTTATTATTTTTTTTTCCAAGCACTGTGTTAAAAGAGGCATGGGTTATTTCCTCTAAGGAGTACACAGTTACCTACTGAGTATTTTAAGTATTTTAAGTACCTTCAAGGCAAACCATAATCTTTCTTTGCTTTCTCACATGAAAAATCTCTTAACCTCTTTCTCTGTTAATCTTAGCTTGCTTGCATCTCATTTCTTACAAATTATCTTCCCTGGACTGTAATATATTGATGCAGCTATAGATACTCTCTATTTGAGTAGTAACATCAAAGTATATTTTTAACAACTACCTGACTGGGCTGCTTCTTGTGATGGTGACCTTAGTGTAACACACACATTCTTCCACCAGCCTTTCTTTTAAACCAACCAAAGGGAACTGAAATCCCTCAGCAGAAAGTGTTGCCACTGCAGCTGGGGGAGCTCGTCTGCGTTCCGTTTTCACCTGGAAGCTGTGTGCTGTGATGACACTGAAATAAATAGAGGAAGCTAATGTGACTCGGTGTTGCTGTGCTGGAATCAGCGTTTGTGCTGTCAGTACTGCACCCCAGTTTTACAGAGTTTCACTCAGTCAGCTCATAGTGACCTGCCTGCTCTGTCCCATCAACAGTGAAGAGGGATTTCTGACACCTGACATATGTGCTTAAGGCGACGTTAGCAGTGTGATGGTCCAGGCTACTGCGTCTGCTAGAACTTTCAGCACTGTGCTCATGGTAATTTGGCATCTCCAAGTAGAAGTGAGGCGATAAAAAGAGTTCAAGACATATAAAACCCTCCCAACTTTAGTAGTGACTGTTACGATGTTCCTGTTTGGCAGATGAGGTCGGGAGAATGACTCACGGTGAAAGGGAGCATACTTTTTCTTTTTTTTTCCTTTTTTTTTTTTTTTTTTTTACCGGCCTGACTCATGAAGTGAACCTGCCAGTAAACCTCCCCACCCTTGGAACTGCTCTTGACTCATGCAGAAGGGATGAGGGGAGAGAAGCACGAGGCTCGTGGCCCATCCCATGGAGTACGTAACACTCATATAAATTAGATCTCCCTCGGGAGGGAAGTGCGTTCGGGACACGCTGACATGGGCCATCAAATGGGCCAAAATGAAGGAAAGGGGTAACTAATCTAGCCACGGTCTAGGGGGAGATTTTGCTTCTGAACCCCCTCCTGAAATATATCATTTTAGCCAGGACTAGTAGCTTGTGATTCTTTGTTTTTCCCCATTTTCCTGTGTTTCCTAATGGGCAACTTTGTTGAGGTGACACTTCTGTGAATTCTGCACAGCTTGTTCACAGCCCAAGTGGTATTAAAATCTTCTGCTGTGGTATTTTAATTCCTTTAGAGAAAAAGGAATAACTGGTCTACCAAGCAGAGCAGCTGAGGCTGAAAATATCATGTTCCTGACGGCTGTCTGCTACTTGGAGAAGACAGGGTTGAAAATTGCTGCCCTGGTTCCCAGGAATAGGGGCCATAGGCCATGGGCTACTTTTCCAAGTACTCCTCTCCATGCAAATCAAACGGCTCCTACTCGTCATCTGTTGCCAAAGAGATTCTCTGTCTCTACAGCAAAAATTCAGATCCATCCACATTTCACCTCAGCTTGCTGGAGGACCTCGTGTCTTCCAAGATCTTATGGAAAACAAATTTTATTTGTGGAAGTAGATTTTATTACCTTGAAGTAGTACGTAAGAAAGCACTTCTGTTAAAGCCATAGTAAAAGCACTAAGCTTGCGTGAAAATTACACCATAGTAGCTATATCATGGTCGGCATGACGCTGGTGAGGGTGATGTCCCCAGCAATGCAGAGCCTGGTGATCTGGTTCAGGTTCTTCTCACGGAAGCCGTACTGCAGCAAGTGAGCGTCGTTGACCGCTACCTTGAAGTGATCTGCCTCGCAGAGGATCTGGAGCTGAAATGAAAACCCCACATCAGCCAGAAAAGATAACCATCGGAGCTGTTTGAGGAAGAAGTTTTAAACCACAGACTGGAGCAGGCTGGCACTGGCTGAGGCTGCTGCCAGCTCAGTCGAGCTCGGTGGCATGTAGACGAGCTGGTGCGGCAACTCCCAGCTCCGAGAACACCGGTGACCTTTGCTTTCCCCAAAGCCCTGCCATACTTTTCCTCCTTCGTGCTTTAACCCTCGATTTCTGTCTCTTTGCAACTATGACTATCTCTGAGAAGCAGCACTGCGTGGTTTTGTTCAGCGAGAGCTGCGTTCTCACCAGATGTGGATCTATTTCATGGGGGAAAAAAGCTTGTGAAGAGCTTACAGTGAGTCTTGTCACACAGTCCTGACCAAACCCTCCCAGCACATGGTGCACGTGCTCGTTAGCCCATTAAGGCTGAATTTTGGGGGGCTTTTTTTGTTACCTTGAAGGGTTTTCCAGCTTCAAATGGGAACCTAGGAGCTGTCCTCTCCTCCCTTCCCCAGTTGTTATGGAACATTGAATTGCAGACGATGACTTTCTTGCTCTCTTCCGTGAAGCGAGGATTAAAGTGGAAGGCGATGTCATTCCCTTTCTTGAAATCCAGCGAAAACCTGCAAAGACGATAACGTATTTGCTGCTTTTTCTATGAAAGCTGTCTACAAAAGCCGTCAGCTCTGTCAGAGAACTTGGCAAAACAGCAGCAAATTAGGAGAAAAAAAACCATGGACCCTGCTAGCAATGAGAGGGCTTTTACATGTTAATTTTCTGTAGTATTTTATTTCACATCAGGCAGGTGTTTCTTAGGAACAAAAAGAAAATCCCAGTCCCCCTGCTCCACCCAGTGGGACCCACCAGCAACCCTCCATCCTCAGTGCTGGACACCTCCCGGTACCTGGTTGGGTTGGGGTTGACACTCCCCGTGATGGTTATGAGCATCCGAGGGGCAAGTCCTGCCTGCAGGGGCAGCTCGAAGGGGACTTTCTGTGAGACAATGGGGATTTGGGGTTAGCAGAAATCATCATCATAAAATGACGTAGGTTGGAAGGGACCGTAGACATCATCTAACCCAACCTCACTGCCATGGGCAGGGATGCCTCTCAATTAGCCCAGGTTACTCAAGGCCTCATCCAACCTGAACACCTCAGGGGAAGGGGCAGCCGCGGGGGGGGGGGCCAGCCACAACTTCGCTGGACAATATATTCCAGACTCTTGCCACCCTTGTACTGAAGAATTTTTTCCTGCGATCTAGTCTAAAACTATTCTTCAATTTAAATCCATCTCCTCTTGTTCTATCGCTGGTCACTCTGCTAAAAACTCCCTCCCCAGCCTTCCTGTAGGTTCCCTTCAGGTATTGAAGGCAGTGATAGGGTCCCCCCCAAGTCTTCTCTTTTTCAAGACTGAACAATCCCAGCTCCTGCAGCCTGTCCTTGTAGCAGAGCTGGTCCAGCCACCGGTTTTTACTGAACTCCTTCCAACAGATCTACGTCCCTCTTATGGTGGGGACACCAGACCTGGAAGCAGTATTCAAGGTGGGGTCTCACAAGAGCCAAAAGCTCGGGTGTGGGCTAGCTCTTGGGATGACAACCCATGCCACCTCCTTGGGGATGGCCAGCCCTGGGTCCCAAAATCAGGTAACGAAGACACAAAAATTCTTAGAATAGGATGGAGCTGTTACCAGTGGAGGAGCTGGTCCACTCTGCGGAGGAGGGGGCCGAAATCCAGGACAGCTGGGTGGGTGTCCTGGGGCAGGATGCGGCCCTGGCCCTGCTGGTGCTCCCGGAAACGCTCCTGGTGCTCCTGGATAGGGTCCATGTCCTGCTGGTCCTCCTGGATACGGCCCTGGTGGTCCAGGGTACGGCCCTGGTGGTCCAGGATACGGTCCCGGTCCTCCAGGAAAGGTCCCTGGCGGGCCAGGGTGTGCTGGGAACCCCCCAGGACCTGGTGGGTAGTTCCCCCAGGAGGGCCAGCCTTGGGGTGGGGGGGCACAGGGGTTCGGGTTGTTGCCGCCGGGCAAAGCATCGGATAACTGGGGACAGAGGGGAGAGGAGCAGGGTGAGGGGGAGGATGTTAATCCTGGGGTCAGGTTGAGTCCTCCAGCACCCAGCTTCTGCAGCTGAGGGCAGGAGCTCGACCGTCCCCCAGCCTGGGATGCATTTTTTTTTCCCAGAAAACTAACAAATGCTGCCATAAGTGGAGTAGATTTGGGGAGTTACGTAGGTTAGCAAAGACGTGTTCCCATCCCTGCCAAAGCAAGGCAACAATCACAGCCCTCACTTCTTTTTAAAGGATTCCATACTTACAGAGAAACCGTCTGACATTTTCCCTAAAACAAAAAGACAAAGGAGGCTTAAGTCATTTTGCCCATGCACCATCTAAAAAAATAGAGATTTTTGAGAAGAGTTGTAGTTTACAGCGGCCACGGGCTGGGAATGGGTAAATCTTCATCACATACCTGTGAGGCAGAGCTCAGAACTCTGGCACTGGAGAGCAAATTCTCCTCTGGTACCTGCGAGAGAAATCGAGGGTCACCACCATGAACAGCCTGAACGGCTCCGGGGGTGAATCCAGCCCAAACACCCTCTGGATTAAATCAGCCACTGCGGGGTTAATATTGATGCAACGTCACCGATGACCTTATGATGCTGCTGGTGTCACACAGAGAGGGGACACAGGACCACAGGGACCTGGTCCTACTCTGCCCCAAGAGCTTTTGGCTCCCTCCAGGCTCTCGATGGGTTTTCACCTGGTTTTTGCTCTTTGCTCTTGAGGAAACACCGCGAGGCATCACAAATCGTGTTCTGCAACTCTATGGTTCTAGACCAGACGAGCACCCTGACCCTCCAAGAACATGCGAGAGCTGTGATTGTTCTACACCCCAAAAAAAATGCCCGTGCCAGGGTCGCCCGTGCTCACAAGTCAGGAAGGTTTACTCTAGCTTCAAAACACTTTTTATAAAGTAAAAAACCCAATGAAGGGCAGTGCAGTGAGATGTTTTCTGCAGCCCCCCACTGTCACTCCAGTTCTTTTGCAGCACTGGAGCCACACAGGCTCTGCGTGAGGGGAAGACACCGGGTGACAACATTCTGTCCCCCCCCGGCAAAAGCTACTTGGTGGGATGAGTAATGTGACATCAGCCTGTCACGGGGGCAGTTTTATTCCGCACACCAGCCACGGCCAGTTACTCACTTCCCCCAGGCATCATCTGGAAAAGATTTCAATTGAAAAACAACCAAAACCAAACAATCCCATTGAGGGGGTCGGGGCACAGCAGCAAACACAAGCTGCATTGGAGGCAGTGGGGCTACAAATCCAGTGCAGCCACATCAGGGGACATGCAGCCACTTCCCCGAGGGGAAGGGGAGAGGCGGAAGCAGGGAAAGAAAAGGAAAATTCCAAAATTGAAAACAGAGATGGAAAATTCTCCTTGAAAGGAATGTTCGGGTGTGCAAAGGTCACAGCAAATTTGGTTGCCCTGCCTTAGGAATAACAGAACCCCCGTGTTTTCACAGCCAGCAGGTAACCCCTTTCCCTGCAAAGCGCTCATCCTCCTGAGCCTGCGTGATTTTTAAGCCAGGCTTTCAACCAGCACCCAGAATCATAGAATCAGAGGATGGTTCGGCTTGGAAGGGACCTTTAAAGGGCATCTGCTCCCACCCCCTGCAGGGAAGAGGGACATCTTCCACAGACCAGGTTGCTCAGAGCCCTCCAAACCTGGCCCTGAATATTTCCAGGGGTGGAGCCCCCACCACTTCCCCGGGCAACCTGTGCCAGTGTTTCACCATCCTCACTGTAAAACATTTCTTCCTTTTATTTACTCCACCCTCTTTCAATTTAAAACCATTAGCCTTTGTGCTCTTCCTCCATACCCTCCTAAAAAAGATTGTCCCCATCCTTCTTCTAGAAACCCGGACTGTTTGAACAGCCTGTACCTTGCAAAGCTTTTATTTGCCTTCTGAGGTTTTTTTGGGGGCGTTTAAGCCTTTGGGTTTACTGTCTGTTTGCAGGGGGAAGCTCCCACA